TGTGTTGAGCTCATTACTGGAACTCACATGGATGCCTCATCTGGCATATGTTCAGCTATGTCACGCATTCCTGTCCTGAGGCCCATAAACAGAATGTTGAAGGTCCACAGGACTTCCTAAGTAGTGCATGTTATTTAAGGGTTATTTGTGTTATCTTTAAGAAAGGACTCAATTCCTCAGATTCACTAGGGAGTATGTGCCCTAAAGTTTGAAAAAACTGAGACATCAAGAGATGCCTAGGCTGTGGGTAACCTGTAGCCCAAGAGGAGCTGGATGAAGGATAAGCAATCAGGATGGGAAGAGGGAGGAGTCTGTAAGCCTGGGACACTAAGGCAGCCATGTCTTATGGGGCTGACACACCCATGCTGGGCTCACTTTACTCCTAGAACTCACTAACTCATACTCAGTAGCCCAGCAATCTCCCATCATGCTTGTGGATGGGAGAAAAACTATGAGACTGAATCTGTATTCTTGTGTTAGACCCTCTCTTGCCTGCTCTAAGGCTCAAAGACCTCTAGGTTATCCAGCTTGCACCCAGAACACACAAGAATCACTTGCTAATGCATGTCACCTTACATACCAGCGTCTTAAGATAGTCTTTACTGCTGTTTTCTCAGTTTTGCTCTATGTATATTCTATGAAACTTGTAAAAATACAATATACTAGGCCAGACCAGATTCAAGATCACTGGACAGCGAAACCCTTATCAAATATTGATCATAGCATCTGTGTTACTCAGTTTCCATCATTGTGACAAAATACCTGAGATAAACTATTTAAAGGAGGAAAAACTGGTTTGCACCCATGGTTTCTGAGCTTTCAGTCCATGGTGGGGAAGTAGGATACTGTGTGGAAAGGTGGGGCAGATAAAAGCCACTCACCGCATAACAACCAGGAAGCAGAGAAATCAAAAGAGGAAGCAAGTTAAACCCTTCAAACACATATTCCACTGACCCACTTTCTTTAAGCAGGCCCCCTCTCCTCCTAGACCCTTCAGTCATGAACTCATGGATGGGTGGTTAGCACTCTCATAGTCTAGTCACGCCTCAGTAGTACTACACCAGAGGACCAATTCACCAACACAAGTGCCCTTTGGGGGTGGGGTTCATATCAAACCATAACAGCATCACACACATAACTGTGCCTAATAATCATTTTCAAGTGATAGATGGCAACATATTCAATAACCAAGAGTCTGTATTTGATGCTTCATCTAATTTAAAGAGCCAAGGAAAAGACTAAAGGGTAGATGTTTCTGAAGATCCTATTCATACCAACTGAGCTTTTCTGGTTCTCAGACTCTGATGCTGGATAAAGAGAAGTGTAATGGGTCCTGGCTGGAATTCTCATTTTTCTTACATGATAATGACTTTACTTACACGGTGTTTGGCAGTTTTTAAAGTTCTTAGGCACACATTCTCAATAATTATGCATGATTTTCAAATGCAGTGGGGCTCTGAGGGGGAGCTCTGATCTATTTCACTTCTCTTTTGGGCCAACCTGAACAATTTAGGCTGATTTCCAGAGAATGTATCCCCCAGCTCCCCTCCAGTATAGAATCTGATCGCTTTTTCTCAGTTACTGAGAGTCCTCTTCCGCTATTTAAATCTGTCTACTCTGATTCTATCTTTAGTAAGCATTTAGATAAAACCTGAGGAGTTCATGTTTTCCTGGCAAAAACCTAAAGGAGTACTTTGAGGTTTGTTTCTTTCTTTCTTTTTTTTTTTTTTTTTTTTTTTACGGAGACCCAGAGAATTGCTTAGCAATAAAACAGTTGGGTTGATCTACTTTACCTAAGGCGGCCAGGCTGTCATCAGCTCAGGCAGCCTGTCTGTGGTTGGATGCAAACATCCCACTGATGTTACTATTTGGAGCCAAATACATAACAGAGACAGAAAAATATCTGTTGGAAATGACAATGGCAGTCAGGTCTGAAGGTTTCTACAAGAATGATGAATTTTCAGTGAGTCAGAAATGTTGGGCAGTAGGATCCCGAAGACTTGATTAGTCCTGAAGTGTCTAGACACATAGTGTCAAAGGGGAGAGTGGTATTTTTTGAGCCTGACAGCTACTATTTGTAAAATCCAGGGCAGCATCACAAATAATAAAAAGAAAGAATTGTAAACAGGAGAAATGTTGTGAAGCAAAAGGCTCTCTCAGACTCACAGGAAGCGGGCTGTGTAAGTCAATGAGTATCACATGGTGGAGAGGCTAAGGGGCAGCACAGGGCGTGGTTTTCTCTAAGCACAGGGTGGCACCACACAAGCATCTAAGCTAAGTCCAGCCAGACTGCCCACTAGACAGACCCAGTTTGCCCATCCACAGAGTCAGTTTGACAGCAATGAATTCTCTTCTTTGAGCTGTCATTGAAAGGCACAGGTAAAATGTGGGAAGTGTTAAGAAACCAGTGTGGTCTGCCTCTTCCTACTTTCCCCTAATCATCACTGCCTACTTCTTTTGACTCCTTCTTTGTCTCTAACAAGATATGGGGGGCTTGGATGTCCAAGGGCAAGGGGCAGGGTCCCCCCTCCCAGTTTGTAAAGGCACAAAAATACTTAAGGCTGTCCATGGTACAGTATCTGACTTGCTATTAATAATTGGCTCATGGACATGATGTTCATTATTATCTAACGCTTCACTTCTGAAATGATCAACAATCCATATGGTTGTTTACTTATCAAGGTCACTAGGATTGGGCATCACCGTCATGATTATTTGGAAGAAATCCAACCATCAAAGTAGAAAATGGAACTCAAGGAAGAGGAAGCATGTAATCATTGTAGAAAAACCAGCTGAGCTCACAAAGCCTGGAGAATGTTTTGGGTATGCCTGTTTGATTCCAAATAAAAAGCGCTTTCAAGATTCTGCCTTTTTAACCATCTTAGTAACATCCAGCTCAGGCAACTGCTTGCAATCACTTCACTTTCTCTGAGCTTTGGCTTATTAACATACAGATAGGAAGTCTGGAATTCTGCAAATGAAAATTTTCACTTTGTTATATTAATTAATCCATTTGACTTTTTGGTGAAATGTGAAACCAGATCAAACCACAAGTTCTGGACTTAGCTGTAGTAAAAGCAACATTGAATTAGCCCTAGATTACGGGGATTACAACCCTCAAGGAGTGACAGATGAGCTTACTGGCCCCAGGCAGGTGACTTACCCTCTCAGCTATTTCTCCATTCGTAAAACTCATGATTGTGGTAATTATCCAAAGAAGGGCATGTAAGTTAAATGTTCTCATATCTGAGGAGTATGTTTTACATGGTGTAATGTGACATTAAAAAAAAAAATCGGACTGGGGAAATGGCTCAGCTGGTAAAGTGTTTGCTGTGAAAGCTTGAGGATCTATGTTTGTATACTCAGCACACATATAAGAGCCAGTGCAGCGGTGTGTGTCTGTCAGCCCAGCACTGGGGGTGCAGAGGACAGAGACGAGTAGGTCTTTGGAAGCTCATTGACTAGTCAGCCTAACTAAATCACTAAGCTCCAGGTTCTGTGAGAAACCCCCTCTCAAAAAATAAGTTGGAGAATAACTGAGACACTCAACATCAATCTCTGGCTTCCACATGCATACATGCACCTGCATGCACACATGCCTACATATGAACACTTCTACATTACGTATCCATCCCTCCATACCCATGATGATTATTCTCTGTAGAGGCATCTCAGATAAATGCTAATGAATAATTGGGAAGACAAAACAGTGGAAGGAGTGCATATTTAATACCTAGATTTTGGTCTTGAACACTAAATCTGATCAGAACTGGAACACAGTACTCAGTCAATGGCTAGTATCTCATTGAGCAAAATATATAAATTGATAGTCTCTAGGGTAAGGTACAAGGAACAGTGTTAATGAGCTGAGAAGCTGTTCCATACTGATAATCATGAGATTAAAAAATATGTATTTTTATTTTATGTGTAGGAGTGTCTTGCCTGCATGGATGTAAGTGTACCATTGTGCATGCAATGCCCATAGAGGCCAAAAGAAGGTGTCAGATCCCCCTGGAATTAGAGTTACAGATGGTTGTTGGCTGCCATGTGGCTACTGGGAATCAAACCTGTGTCCTCTGCAAGAGCATCCAGTGCTCTTAACTGCTGAGCCATCTCTCCAGCCCCTGATAATCAAAAGATTTGAGAAATCAGGAGAGCTGAGAGGCAGATGCAACTCTGTGAGTAAACTTGGGGTCTTATCATGGTTTCCCTTATGATTTCCCATTGGTTTTTACATGTTTTCTTTCTAGAATTGGAGCTCTTCCTATTTAAACTCCTGAGTAATGTGAAATTACATCTCTTAAGTGTCGAGAAGCTGGGCCAAGGAAGACTTTGCACACACAGGTCTGATGTCAGTTTCAGTCCTACAGTGGAGACCCAGACACCATACTCAGACCTACTTATCTGACTCTGACTAATGACTCTTCATATTCCTGTGGCCTGAACATCCCAGAATAGGTTCTGATTCCTATTAAACCCCTCAAAAACATTTGGGTGAATGAAAAATACATGATTTGATAAAATATAAATAATGATCCCATTTGTGACTCATAGTCCTGGAACGTGAGAAGCTCCTGAAGGCTTCTTTGCCCTCAGAGTGACTTATTCCTTGGGCACTGGGGTAGGTTTTGTTTAAATTTTTCTTTAATCCATTCCTGGAAATGAATTTCATTACTCGTTGTGGGCAGAAGTCACTTCTTTTTCAGGACTCTAAAAGTTGCCGTTCCTGGTAGCGTGGTTTGTAAATGAGTTTCCGAAGCACCATGACAGAGAACTGGCTCTCCATCCCAGCTCTTAGTGGACTCTCTGCAGCCACAATATCATATTTTGTCATTTCACATCCTTAGAGTGCCCTTTAAGTAAACAGTGACAGGGTGGAGAGGCAGGAATGAACTGGATGGGAACTGAAGCGAGCACTGCTTGGAGACATATATTGTCACTTTAGTGCTGAGTATAGAAACCACTGGCCTTTTGTGTTTATCTGATTTCCCTTCACTCACCATTGCGTGATTCACCCATGCTGGAAAGAAAGCATCTAGAGCCTTGGGGTAAACACGTTCTCGATCATAGTGAAAGAGGGCCCAGAATACTAAAAATACAAACTGGAAAGAAAAACACAAAAATACCATTATTAGATTTGTTTTTCATTCAAGGTTTCTAAGATAACCAAAGAAGTATACCGAAATAAAAATAGGTGGCTATTTGAAAAATATCATATATACATTTAGGAATGTAAAATGACAGGGAAAGTGCTTATTTCAGAACTGCTGTATCCCCTGTGAGATTCTTCAATGAGGGCCCGTGACTCAGACAGCCACTGTCTCTACCACAGCAGGTAGAGAAGGTACGATTTAAAAAGATGTACAGACCACCAATCCTTCATTATAACCCAAGGTGTCTTTTTTTCTCTTCTAAGCTTATACCAGGAGCAGACTCAATGGCTTGAGTCTGACAGGTTCCTTGCCCCACACCCCTTTTTAACAGTCAGAGCAAAGGAAAGTGGGAAAGCTGGGAGAATGGGATCATTTACAAGCAAGTGAACTGAGAGTTGGATTCCTTCATTGCTCAGAACTTTGGATTGATCTCCATCTATTGTACCCCTTGAATGTCCTGTCACAGCATCTGTCCTATGTTATCATCGGTGTTGGGATGGGTGCAGGGGAAGGACCATTCATCCTCCCATCACCCTACCTTCTGAAAATTCATAGGCACAATTTTCATGCCTTTAAAAATGAATAGAGTCCATTGTCCCTTTTAAAACCCTGAGCTTTAGAAGATTTTCTAGGAGTGGAGGTGGAGGTATTCTGTAAAGAAAACCTGGAATAGCCAGTCCCTGTTCCATCTGAGAGATCATCAGTGATGGATAGTTTCATTTTGCATTTAGTTTTGATGCCTCAGTAACACAGAATGCAGGACAACGGCAGATGGAAGAAAGAAGTCATTTCTAATCCCAGGCCCTGCTGGGCAGCAAGTGTGTTTGATCTTGGTCTGTTTCTATCCTACTTAACGAATGGGAAGCACAGACAATGTCATAGCAAGGCAGACAGCACCAGCAAGCAAGCTTACTGCCCCTTGTGAATAACTTGCTTTGCCTGATTTCTATTCATTACACACAATGAATAAAGCACCCACCTTGTGCTCTGCATTGGGCTGTCATTCCCTCCTAAATCTCTCCATGGGCCAACTTTGAAAGTCTTACATCTTTTTGTTTGCTTTTTTATTTGACAGTTTTTCACTAGTAAGTGAAACATGATACATAGAAAGGGAAATAGATCATCTCCCTCCCTAGGGCCCCCCCTTCTCATCACCATGATGGAACCAAGTTGTACCACTAGTATGGGCATCCCTTCGCATTCCCAAGCACACTAAAATCCGCAAATGCTCAAGTGCTTTACATAAAATGGCAAAATATTTGGTTAGAATATATATATATATCCTCCTGTATATGACAAATCATTAATAGATTACTTAGAGTGATTCAGTGCAACATAAATGCTGCATAGCTGTTATAATACATTTTTAGTTTGGGGGCTGAAGAGATGGCTCTTACAAAGGACCTGGGTTCGATTCCCAGCACTCACATGACAGCTAACAACCATCCATAACTCCAGTTCCAGGAGATCTGACACCTTCTTCTGACCTCTGCAGGCACTGCATGACGTGGATGCACTTACACACATGCAGGCAATACATTCACACACACAAAATAAAAATAATAAATAAAATATTTTAAAAATATATTCTTAGTTTTTATCCATTTGTCAAATATTTTTGATCCACAGTTGGTTGAATTTGTGGGCGTAAAACTCACAGACGTGGAAAGCTGACTGTTTTGCTTAAAGACCTTCAAACTTCCCCATCTGGTGGCAATAAGGACGTTGGTTCAAGCCTTCATGAAGGGTATAAAAGTGAATGATAAACACATCTGTGATTAGCCCTACTTCCTGAAGACCCTGGTCAGTATGGTGAGCCCCCAGACAGGACATTTATGCAAATGTGGGTGCTCTGGTTACAATAATGAGTCCTTAGACAATGATGTGACCCAGAAGTGTAGATCCATTGTGCACAACTATGATATTAGATACTCATCTGGGTACTTACCACGGAGATGGGAAAAGCCATTGTGGTGAAAAGAAGATCTCTGAAGGAAGTTATGAACTTAATGCCTTTCCTGCCCATGATTCTTTTCAGCACATCATCCAGGCAGGCGACCCCAAAGAAAACAGCCTGCAAGAGCTAAATTCATTACAACAAATGAGAGCATTTTCATTTGCTTTAATTAATACATTCTTCGCTGATATAAAACTGCAGCCCTCTGGGAGCAATGTTGATGTGAGAAGGAGGGGGATGTAGGGTTGTTTGGGTTGAGAGCCAATTCAAGGGCTGGGCTTCCAGCTCATTGGGCCTTGACCTTGCACACTAAAGCTGATTGAGGAAATTTGTTTAGGGGATAATAATGTATACAGTATTTAGTCTAATGGTCTTGAGCTAAAATGGAAACAAAATAGTGAGTTGAAAAGGGGAATGTAATGAGGTAGCTAGCAAGGCCACACAGAAGTGAGAAAAACCGAACACACAGCACAGCAAAACATCAGGCATAATGGCGGCATGGTCAGGTGTCAATGACTCAATGGGTAGAGTGTGTGCTGCTCAAGTCAAGCATGAGGCCTGAGTTCAGAGCCCCAGGATTCTGTAACAACTTTGCATACAGCTATAGCCTTAAAGTGTGTGGAGCAGAGGCAGGTGGGTCCCTGGAGTTCACTGGCCAATCAGCCTAGTCACTTGGTGAGCTTCAGGTTTAGTGAGATACTCTATATCGAGAAATAAGATCAACATCTGGCCTACACACACACACACACACACACACACACACACACACACACACAGCCGAGGACTGAAATCCTACTAGGGGAGCCGGAATGAGGGTCAAAAGCACTAAAATGGAGCTGTGTGCTGCCTGAGGAAAATACAACTCCTGGGACCACTTGCGCATCTCTTTCCTTAAAAAGGCCACCTGAAGGCCTTACAGAGGCAATCTGACCATCAGAGGCCTTCACCTCACAGGAGACAGGAAGCAAAGCCTGGGTTATGGCCAGCTGCGGAGTACTGTGAGGTCCTTGAGGGAAGACAAGACAGAAGAGTCTTTTTCATGAAGTATAGGGTGAAGGTCCCCAATCCAATATGCTTGGGACTAGAAGCATTTCGTATTATTGGATTTCTTTTTTCAGATTTTGGAACATTGACACATACATAATGAGATACCTTGGAGATAAGACTCTCAAGTCTACTCACAAGTTCATTTATTTTTCATATCACCTTATTAATAATTTTGTGCATGAAACCAAGTTACGTGTGTGATTTTGATATTTTTCACTTTCATGCTGGTGACAAGAAGTTCTGGATTTTGGAGCATTTCATGTGCCAGATCTTTGAATTTGGAATGCCCAGTCTGAAGTATGATACAGAGGGTAAATCTCGTGTATTCTTGGTGTTTTCTGCAACATCATGGCTGCTGATTTAAGACAGGACGCATGCTGCCTGTACAGAGTTTGAGTTGACTTTGAGTTCTGCTTGCCTCAGAAGCCATTCTACATCTTAGAAGCTCTGGATGAGTACATGAGGGACAGAGAAGACTGTCCTCTTAGAGTAGGAAAGTTCTAGAACATGGGGAGTTGGACTAGGAATTGATCAGCGTTGGCTGTTGGGGAACAGAGTATAGAGTCTGAATTCTCAGGGAAGACTTTCCTAAAGTCGACCTCATGATACTTCCAGGGCTGAGGGGTGAGAAGAAAGACTGAGGACGCTGCTCCCAGTTGGGTCCTCAGTTGGGTCCTCAGAGCAGCTGTAGGTACCTTACCTGGAGCTCTTCAAAAATGCAGGTCTTTCACCGCCTCCCTGGAATGTGAGTCTAAGTGGTTATGTTTAAACAAGTTCTGGGGAAGAAACTTCTGTGGGCTAAAGTTGAGGAACCTCTGAAGTAGATATTCATGGTTCATGCATCTTACTGCCTACACACAACTCTAGCATGTCTTCTATTTTTTTTAAATTATTTATTTATTAACCACATACTTAGATGAAGCATTTCATTACAACAGCATTGACACATTCAATAACAATTTCCTGAGCTAAGATGCATCTCTTTCAAAATTGATTGTAAATTTTTAGGTTTACAGTTGAATTATTACTGCTATACAATACTATATTCAGTATAAGCCCTATAAGAAATAAAATTAAATGAGGTTTTGACCTTTAAAAAAGATTTCTATTTCATTATTAAAATGCAGAGTTTCATACAGGAAAATTCATTTTTAATGCAATTGACATTAAGACGTTTGCACATGCATTTCTAATCTCTATATATCTGATTATTACTAGTCACAGTCGATTACTTTCTGAGCTCCTTGGTGTCTGAGCATGGATATAAAGTGGTCTGGTATTTCAATGGTAATGTTTTTAATATCTACTAATTATTAAGGAGCAAATTTTTATGCTTTGAAGAATTATTTTTTATCATTATCTTTTTAATTTTTAATAACTACATGATTAGAAGAAGCATTTCCCTACAGTTTTAACTTATTCAGTAATACACTCCAGAGCAAGGGTACATCTCTTTCACAAGTGGGTACAAGTTTCTAGGTTCACAGCTGAGTTAATACAGTTATACAATATTGAACTCAGTATAAGCCCTGTAAGACATAAAATTGAATGAGTATTTTAACCTTTAAAAAAGATCTACATTTCACTTTAGAATATATCGCTCCTTGCAGAAAGACTCATTGTTTTTGCTACTAACACTGAGATGTTGGCACATGGCATCTCTAATATGTATGTATCTGATTATTACTAGTCATAATTGGTTGCACTTGGATCCTTGGAGCCTGTGTATGCCTATAAAGTCATCAGGTAGACTTCAATGGTAATGTTTATCACCTCTACAAATTAGCATGACATATATTTCCACGCTTCCTCCTCAAATATAATACACCATGCTTCCTCCTCAATATAATATTTTTAAAAATACTGGTTTTTTTTTGTGTGTATATCACACAGAACATCCCAAACCATCTCATTCGACTATACACCCACTTCCCAGATGGGACCTTCCCATAGCCTCCCTCCCCCCACTAGAGCCCTTATACTCAGATATCCCTGCTAATGTCTGCTGTGTTTTCGGCACCCAAGCCCTTCCCCACTACTTGCCCTTCAGGTGGATTTAGTCAGCCTATCTAGAGGTCTTTGTTTTAGGAGGGTCAGCTGTTCCTCATCTAGCAGTAATCAGTTGTCAATATTCCTTTAGATAAGATTGGGGTCTGTTGTACATTTTCCCAGTTCTATGCTGGGTTACTATCTGGGACTCCCTTTGGCCACCTTGGCCAACAACTCAAAAGAAGTTATTGCCTGTCTGGCATTCTTGCTTGTTATGTAGCCTTTAGCTATGCATGTGGACTATTAAGAAATTATATTGGCCCCTTTAATCTTTGGTTATACCTTCCTTTTGGGTGTTTAAGGCCATACAGTTGGCTCAGATAAACAAATTTAGTTTTACTCTTAAGGTCATTTGAGGATCAGTTCCTTAGGGGTCACATGGGCTTGAGAGGAGCCCCTGGCTCCTTTCTTTTACCAGTTCTGCCTATGTGAAGATAAGTCAAAGGTCCTGCTCGACCATGCTTGGCTTCGCTTGGAAGCATGGAGGAAATGATTCCTCTGTGTTGACCCTCCTCTTTG